GATTTTGTCGCATTTCCTTCTTCAAGGCAGGGAGGGCAAAGGTCTCAGAGTGGAGCAGAAGGAACAGGGATTTAGGCACCTGGGACACCCCCACTCTCTCCTGTGTGACCTTCATCCCATTTGACCTCCCTCCTCCCGACTATGACACGCCCAGCACCATGACTAACAGCAGACAGACGCGAAGTAAACATCAGCCCCCCTGAACACCAGCCAGCCCCCTGAGTGTACCTGCGTGAGCCAGCTCCCTGGGGTTCCACGGCTTGTCAGTGGGACACAGGGCACCCCCAGATTGGTCTTCTCTTATCATCACTGCTGCAGAACTGGGCATGCGTGGGTGGAGTCAGACACACCTGGGGCAGGTCTCACCTCGGCCTTCTTGCTGGGTGACCTCAGGCAATGCCTTAACCTCTCTGAGTTGCTGTCTGCTCTATGGGAGTGATGCCAACCACATAGTGCTATTGTGGGAATGAAACATGTTAATGAATTTTAATATAATTACACTTCAGGCCCAGCAGGAAATGAAAGGGTGCTGAGGGCAGTTTAAGAGTAAAGATCTGTCTCAGTGCTTGGTAAAGAGCTGCTTCTCTCTAAATGTCGGTGAGTCACCTTGTTCCAGGTGCTGGGCTGGGGTCTCCAGGCCAGCTGTAACCATAGAGTCAAGCGGAAATGAAAATCAGATTGAGAGCAGTTACCAGTGATGAAATCACCTGCTTAATATATTGCTGTCCTCCCATTGTACAGCTAAGAAAACTGAGGCCCAGAGAGCTCCCGGGGTCCCACAGGATGTGAACTTGGCCATGACGACACTACGTGTGGATGCCGACAGCACAGAGGGACGTCAGAAACCTCTGCCACAGACTTGCCGCTCTGTCCCTCCTCAGCCACACCCCTAGTCACTTACTCATTCATTCATTTGACAAATATGTATTGAGAACTAAGTACGTGCTAAGCTCTGGGACTAACAGACGAAAAGGGAGTGGGGTGGGATTGAGAGCTATGCTGCAATTTATATAGGGGGCAAGTGCAGGCTCACTGAGAAAATGACTCCAAGCAAAGATTTGAAGGAGATGAAGATGTGGGCCATGAAGGAAAAGCATTTGAGGCAGAGGGAACAGCATGTGCAAAGGCCCTGAGATCAGGATGTCTCTGGAAGGGTGTATCCAGGAGGTCACTATCATTGCATGGAGAACTGAAGAATGTTGTTAGGGCAGGTGGTCACGAAGGGCCCTAGAGGCTGCTATAAAGACTCGGGCTTTATTCGGAGACAGGTGACGTCACCGGAGGGCTGGCTGCTACGTCTGGACTGGACATTGTAGAGGAAAGGGGGGAAGCCTCAAGGGCCCCACGGGGCCACTCAGATCCAAGCTGTCCCTGGCCTTGGGGGTTGCCTTTCTTTCCACCAGCCTCCCTCACCCTGAAAGGGAGACCTGAAACTTTATACCATGAATTCGGAGTGTCTAGGGTCCCTCATGGCCTAAAACACCAGCAGATGGGCAGGTGTGTGCGTCAGGCCTGGAAGGGAGCGTGGTGATAAGAACACTTGCTTAAATTAAGGCCTGACAAAGCCTCTCCAGCGGACTTGGCTCCTGGCCCTGGGTCAGTGGGGCTGGCCCAGGGCCTCTGAGGGGCAGGACATAGGGAGCGAGCTCCGTCTGGTCGCCCCCTTGTGCTGAGGCCCTCTGGGCAGGCTGGCAGCCCCAGGGCTAAGGACAGCCCAGATGGAGGCCAGGATTCCCCCTGGAACCTCGAAGCTGAGGGCGATTCTTGGGAAGCAGCCACTGACGTGGCCAGGCCTGGCTGGGGGGCGCGAGCAGCCACCACACGTCAGACCTATTCATAACCTGGGCTTCGTGCCTCAGGCGTGGAGCCTGTGGGTCACTCGGGGGCCTCTCCTGTGTCTCCCAAGGGAATGGCGGGGGGGCGTCCTTCACCCAGCCTCTCTCCCCAGAGACGGAGGCTCATGCCCAGTGCCCTTGCAAGCTGGAGAAGCCACAGCGTGGGAGATTTTTTTCTTAAGGCAAACACTTGGCTGTTTGCACTTGGACATGTTTCCGGGGTCTCCCCTTGGGCACGTGACCTCATCCGAGCTGAAATGACCCTTCTTGGATCTTTGGGTCTTGAGATTTCCTCCTTGCAAGGCCACGGAGGAGTGCTGAGGAATGTCTCACGGCCAGCTCCCCGAACGAAAGCTACAAATCGTGGCGTCTGCCGATTTGCGTGGTGTGAACGCTCCCATGGCTGCCGTCAGCTACTCACGGGGCGTCACTGGACGCAGAGTGGGAAGGAGATGTTCACGGGGGCGCTCAGGAGATGATGGGAGCTGGCTCTGCAGGCCGAGGGGGCCCAGGCAGCCACCACTGGCTTCCAGGACACGCAGACACGCAGCCGCCAAAGCCATCTTCTCGTGGTCAAGTCCCCAAAGGCAGCTACTTCCAGGCCCGCAAGGACTCATCAATCTCTCGGTCGATGTTAAATCTCTCGGTCGATGGTTGCTCTGGTGGCCAGGGATGGGGGGAGGTGTCACTCAGAAGGGGCAGTGAAGGACGTTGCTCAGAGGGCAGGACATTGCCCCGGCTGGAGTTGGAAGTGAGAAAAGTCAAAGGAAGAAGAAAAACGCTTGTTCCTCCACTCAAGACCACTGCTGCTAAGACCTAGGTGTATTTCCTCCCACTTGACTTTCTCTGCGAAGCACTTTGTTAGTTGCTCATTTCGGGCGGTTGTCCTGCGTGCAGGGTACTCTACCTGCTTCGCCTTACAGGCTGAGACGGGCACCTTCCAGCGTCGTTGTGGGTGCTCCTCAAACAACCCTCGTGCCCTGCAAAGGGGAAGGAAAATGACGTAGCCACTTGGGAAACCAGCCTGGAAGTTTCTTAAAAAAATCAAACATAAAGTTACCATGCAACCCAGCAATTTCGCTGGTAGGAATCTACCTAAGAGAAATCGAAACATCGGCACACACGCACACAACGACTTACGTGACCGTAGCGATCTTATTCATAATGACCTCAAAGTGGAAACGGTCCAGATGCCCGTTAACTAGTGCATGAATTTTTTTTTTTAAAAAAGGTCTATCCCTGCAGGGGAACGTTACTGGGCAACAGAAAGGAGTGAGGTGCTGAGACACACACAGTAACACGCTGAACGTCAAAAACACTTTGCAAAGTGGAAGAAGCCAGGCGTGAAAGACTAAACACTGTTAAGATTCCGTTTACATCAAATGTTCAGAAAAGGCAAATCTACAGAGATAGAAGGGAGATTGGTGTTTGTCTCGCGCTGAGGGAGGGAACAGCTCGTGACTGTACGTGGACATGAAGAGTGTTTTTGGGGTGATGAGGATGTTCTAAAGTTAGATTGTGGCGACAGTTACACAATTCTGCAAACTTATTAAAAATCATCGGATTGAACACTCTAATGGGCGACTCTCACGGCATACACATGACACCTCCGTAAGGCTGTTTAAAAACGATGTTTCCTAGACACACCCTTTTCAGTGGACTCATAGTATTACTTCAGATCGGATGTGCGCTTTTTGTATTTGACATTCTCCCATTATCGGACCCTGTGTCTGCTTTTCTGATGCTGCAAGCAACACAGCGATGGAATTTCCTGGTTTAGGATTACTTCCTCAAATTTAGTTCCCAGCAGAGGGCTTTCCAGGTCAAAATTATGAAGTTTGTTAGGCTTCTCGATATGATGACATACCATTTCCCCAAAGTGTGGGACCAATTGAGGGCGGTGGCGTCCCACCTTCCCCTAGTTTGCATGGTCCAACCGTGAAACAAACCACTCCCTCAGAAAAGAAAACCCCGCTATTCCATGGTGTCGGAAGTCAGAACAGCGGTTGCTCTTGGGGGAAGAGGGACAGGAAGGGGGCAGGAGGGGGGTTCTATGGTTCCGTTTATTTTTTGAATTGAGATATGATTCATATACAGTAAAACATTCCATCTGAATTGTACATCCGGGTGAAATTTTGCATTTGACACACTTGTGTGATCAACCCTCAGATCAAGATATAGGACATTTGCAGGGCGCCAGAAAGTTCCCTCATGCCTCTTCCCAGCCAAAAGCCAAGGGCTCCTCGAACCTCCAATACCATAGATTAGATTTGCTTGTTTTTGAACTTCTTATAAATAAAATTACAATTTTTAAAAGCTTGATCAGGGTGCTAGTTTACATAGAGGTCCACCGAGCTATACACATATGATTATGTATTTTTTTTATTTTATGTTATATCCCAATAAAAGTTAAAGTGTGGGCCAAGAGGAAAACGATTT